ACTTAAAAATCACTCATAACTGAGATCTGAGTCTTTCAAATAAGATTGTTCTTTTGCAATTAAAGGAATGTCAACATTATGTTGATAACCCTTGCTGCACTGTAGCTCAGATTAAGATAAGACATAGCAGGAGGTATTTAGTAAAAAAATCTGCTATCAACTGTGAAACAGTTCATCTTTTCTTACACATAGCATCTTTGAAACTAGTGACAGTAGTTCCCCATGCAAAGAACCATATAGTAACATACTGCATAGAGCAGAGAGCAAAGACAATATATGACAATGAGAAAGAGTCATTTAGGATTACATATTTTCACAGCAAACACTGATGTGCTGAAGTTGGAGAATGCTAATTTTCTGGACTTCTGAGGAGTATTAAACATTGAGATTTTTTAGAAATGTGGTTGATTAAAAATAAAATGTATTGATGCAACAGGAGATGAAAGGTAAGAAAAATATTAAACATCTTGCAAGATCAGATGACCATACACCTTTCTGGGTCAAAATTTTTATGCCCAGGTGCATTTTTTATGCCTGATGCATTCTTAAATCTGAACACTAGTATCTAAATGCAATTGGAGTGCTTTCTGCTTGTTTCATAAAATGGCATGCAACAATATTCTTATCCAAGATTTCTTCCGAGAAAGACACCTCAAATTCATATGAAACTACCTACCTCACATTATACCCATTTGGACTAACATGAACTCGGAGAGTAGATTTTCTGAACACATTAGTAACAAATTAAATAAATATACTGGTAATACAAAGAATAACTTAGTTTGAATTTTATTACTAGAGTTTTACTTCTGCTACTTTGTATGTGACCTACATTTAGTTTTTTTCTGAAAGCAGGCTCCTCCTTAAACTCTTGCTTTAACCCCAATCCTGGGGCTGATTAACCCCAAAGCCAACAACAAATAACATCTTTCCATAACTGAAAATGTTTTTGTTTTTTAAGTTTATTATTTACAGTTAGCAAATCACTTGAAAGAGTGATTTGTTTACTAAAAACAGTGCAAACCAATGTATTTGTTTTGCTGGCCAACCAATAACGTACATAGGAATTTTATGAAAAGTTAAAAACAGAAAATAAAAACATCAGTAATGAAATATATTTCCAATATCTTAAAATTTTTGGTAGTAACATTTTTTTTTTCTGAAAATTTGATATAAAATATTTTCAAGACTTACAGCTCCCTTTACATCTAAATCAATAATATTTTTTTCTCTACCTTTATTATTCGCCCCACTAAGTTTCTGTGATAACCTTAACAGACTGAAAAAAAGCATGTGCTCACCTTCAGGTGATACAAGTTATTAGTCCATTTTCTTCACAAAAGGTTTTTTTTTTTCCCCCACACAAAGTAAAACCCTAAAGCTATCTCTAACCTCATTTAATCCTTTCAATACCTTGATAACCTGCCCTGCAGTATTTTGTCTTTATCACACTCATGAAAGAGAGTGCTTTCGTCTGCAACTTTTCATGGCAACAAAATTGCACCTCAGACTTGTGCTATAAGACATGACACTGCAATGTATGAAACATGAGTTATCAAAAAAGTAAAGGAATCCTGAAACTCTTTTCCAAAGGCAAAACTTCAGTGCAGGTTATCAGGCTGGACAGCCTGATAACATCAAACCCAGCCCAAATATGACCTTCAGTGAGATGACTCAAACTATCTCAGGTTGCTTCTGGACAATCAGGATTTGTACACTATCCACCTTCAGTATGATTTTTTCACTGAGACAACAAAACAGATAGCTGCACATCTATGTTTAATGCCTTCTAATAATTTCCTCTTTTCCTTTCCAACTCCAACCACAACCAAAGGTAATGCAGTAAGTGGGAAAAAAATAAAAATGCCCTCCCTAAAGTCCACACACACAAAAAAAAGGCACCGCCTGCTCCCCACTCCCCAAAAGACTCCTGAGATAGCTCACAGACCCTGCAGTTTTGAAATGTTAAGATTACTAGCTAAACTTAGGGTCTTTAATTTACATATAATATATAGCCACATTCAGTGGAGTGAAGGATGTGGCTCCTTCTCTCTGGGGCTGGCTGAGAGACGAAAGAATGTGACCTTACTTCCAATTTAGTATCACACACAGACTTGTCTATCACACTATTATTTATGAAAAACTAAAGAAAGTATCCTGAAAAAAAATAAAAAAATGGAAAAAATAAAAATAGCTTAGTGCAGATTCATATGACAGAAATTAGAAGCATTAAGACATTTAATCTAAACATCAAAGCTCAGAGTAAGAAAGAGAAAGAGAATCACAAACACTTAGTAAAATCTAAGACGGTCTTTTATACCTTTTCCCTCTAGTTTCTTCTTTTCATTTTCCTGAGATTTTCTTATACATTCCTCTACTTTCACCAAAACACAAAGACACTGATAACCTTTCTTCACAGTTTTCATGAACAAAGTGAACAATCAGTGCTCCCTTATCAAAAACAAAAACAACAAACACATATGAAAACTCTTGAAAAATCCATAGTTACTACATCTTTTTTTCCTAATTGATAATCTTAAACACTTGTTGTAATTTTCTGAAGGAGAAGAATCTTCTTTCTAGCACATAGTGGAGGAAGGGGATGTTTTTATTTGTTACTATTGTAGTACATTTATACACCTTTTTTTTTTTTTAAATGATTTTTGTATATCAAGATCAAATTCTGCAAGGGATTAGGGAGGTTCATCCTAGATATGCTGAGTGGCTGTCTATTGACATGAATAGAAGAGTTAGCAGATATTGAGAATGGCTTCCAGCTCTCAAATGATGGAAGTTTGGGAGGTTATAAGTCATGTCTTAAAAATTATGCCTATGTTGTCCTTATGAAGTAAGAACTGTAAGGTGGGAGGCAGATAAGGAAAAAAAAAAAAAAAAAACAACACACAAACATTTCAATTCAAAAAGTACTTACACATACATGCTTTACATTAATTCCACTGTTTTACTGGCCTTTGATGGAACTCAAACCACATGGCTACAGAAACAAACTGGATTCAGAATAACTTTGTTATTCTTATTCTCTGTAGGATTGTATTTTCTTAGTTTATAATTAAAAGTTTATGCTTTCTGAAATTAGTATTTCTGGCATGTTTGGGCTTTGTTTACATTTCTGGCTTGTAGGGTCATTTTGAGTTCTTTTTTTGCTAGAGTGCTTTTAATCCACAGGCAAAATGTTTCTATGAGTCATTTAGCCTTTGCAAATGATTTTCTGGTCCTAATGAGTATGTAGTTTCAATGAGATGTTTAGATGAGTTCTCCCACATTAAACTCAATATGGATGCATTCCTATAGACTGTGTGTTTCTGCCACGATTCTTCTGCTATTACCCTACACAATTTTGGATTTCTGTTTTTCAGTACACTTGTTCTTTGCTAATTTTAAGCTATGCCTAATATGAGCTCACTTCAGGAAGACAATCACCAGAAGTAAATGCTACCTTGCTTCTGCAAGCATCCACACCTTTTAGAGCTTAAGGGAGGCATATTTTACACTGATCTGCTACCCTTGTTCCATGTTCCCTCTCTCCTTTGCCTCCATTATAAACCACTCTACATCAATCCAAGTAACTGAAAACTATGTGGGAATTGAATTTGTAAATCAGAAATAAAAAGGCTAATGCTTTTTAGGAAGGTTGCAGTCATATCAAAACTGTTTGTCTTCTTCTCTTGCTTACTTTCTAAACCTCAGTTGCTGAGCACAGCACATCATTCACTGAAAACCAACTCATACATGTCGAGAAGAAAAATGCAATATAATTTTAAAACTCCTAGATATATCTGGAGAAGAGAGGTATATATCATTAAACATTTTGTCAGGTCAAAACTCACAATCATCTTCATATCAATTATTAGTAGTGATTAGAGATTTTCATGCTGAATGTTACACACCACAGTTAGGTCAATACAGTAACAGCTTGCTCACAGAAGGTGAGAAGAAGGACAGAGAAGTTTATTGCAGAGAAGTTTATTTATGGACACAGAACTACTAGTAGGGAAACCAGAACTCTTTTCATAAGCTTTTCCTATGACATTAAGTAACAGATGTACGTCACCATCTGTGAAACTAGAATAAGTACTGTTTCCTTTTCGTGTGTTTTAAGGAAGGTTTGTCCTCAAACTAAAATAAATAAATAAATAGAAAACAAGACACAAAGGAAATTGCAGAAAATATTTTTCAGTTACTAACAACCAAACATATGATAATGAGAGAGAGATTATATTTTCTCTGGTTTTCATTTGCAGTGTATTTTACTTTTTTTTTTTTTTTGTGTACAAATGTACTTCTTGGAAAATTTTTTCAATTTTTTTTCCTTTGCTATGATCTTTCAAATCTTACATGTTCATTGATAATAAGAAAATTATTGAAGCAATCATCTGTTTCTTAAGTATTAAAACAATCCTGCATTCTTAAAGCCTTTTCATGATCTACACTTCTATTGTTATGCGTCAAATCTCAGGTCACATTTGTGAAACGTAATTCATTGATCTTTTCCCTTACATTTTACTTTAGCTGTATCTGGTTCTAATGCTAGCAAGAATTCTGTTTCCAGACTTCTCTACTTGCAATAGTGCTTTGCAGATTTTCTGTTATTCATCCTCTACAGGAAGAAGAGTTAGATTTGTTCTAATGATGATTATAAAGTGACCGCATGGCATGAAATTTACCAAATATAATTGTGGGTAGTGACATTTCAAGGCTTTAAAGTTAAACTTTGTTTACTTTTAGAAAGTTTACTTTTTTTTTTTTTTACTTTGTTTGCTTTTTTAAACTTTTTAGAAACTTTTTAGAAAAGTTTTTTTACTTTTTACTTCTTAAAAAAGTAAAACCTTTTTTCAACAGATATATAAGGCTTTTGTGATCCACAAAACTATTTAGAGAAGTTATTTTAGTTAAAAGGGAAAAAAAAATCCTAACAAAAACAATTGAATATCGTCATTTTAGTTTGACATTGCCACATCTAACTGTAGCATGAAACTCACCTGAAACAGTCAAAGGGGACTGCTCTAGTTCTTGATTGTTGCTGCTACAATCTGGTCTAGGATATGTCATCAACGTCCAGGACCCCACAGCTTTGAGCTAACTGCAGCAACGGTAACAGCTGTGTTTCTTCCATCTTCAAAGCCAGCTATGGGGAATACAAGACTACCTAAGTATGGAAAAACATAACCGTCATGTAAGGTTTTGTAGCATAAGGAGGAAGGCTTCACCTGGTTTCCTTACTTATCAAGAGAGATCTTACGTATATTAATTCTGTCCCTTTTTGTTATGACAGACAAGTTACATAAATATGAGACAGTATGAACAATTGGCTTTCCTGGTGTGACAGGCTGCACATTACACATCCATAATTACCTTGGACTTTTGTAAAAGGGAGAGACAACTATGGACTACTGATAGTATACCATTAACGATGAAGCTCACGTGAATGAATGGACAGGTTAAGCTGTATGTGCTTGCCAAATTTCTAATCCTTCAGACAATTAATACAAGATGCTTAGGAAACAGATGGTCAGACATCCAAAAGTGAAATCAGAATCTCTCTTATGGTCCACAGGGAACAGTCACTGGCAACAGAATTGAAGGAGATTAACATGTTGTTGACAGCCTATTCAATCTTCTCCATCATTTATTTAAAAGAAGTAATTATTCTCTGCAAGACACCTGACTTACCTTTCTATCCTTCTAGTGAAATTCTTCCTAAGAGAAGACCTACAAGTGTTTTCTGTCATATTGAGTTTAGACATCTCTGAAGCACAAGAAGCCATAATACTGGTGTTCTCAGTATCTAAAGAGACATTTGGGGAAATGCCAGCATGCCTGTCAGGAGTTAGGAACGTTGTGTTCTTTTATTCAACTTAACTTCACATTTAACCTGGAGAATGCTATTGTATTCCTTTTTATTATAGACTAGATAAGCAAACTTAGTGGGAAGTTAGCCTAGTGATGAGTTTAGACACTTAGAAATTTTACTTGCCTTTGCAACTCATATATTTTTTTGCTTTTCGCATGAAGTTTTTCAGTTTGTTTTCTGTCAGTAGGGCATACTATACTGTTGTGTAGTGTAGATATAAAACCATCTGACTGTCTCTAATCTCTTCCATGGTGTCACAAAACCAGCCTTATGTATGAGCAACTCCAGGAGATGCTGCTGGGCTCCTGAAAAACTTGGACAGGTGGAAACATTCTGATATTTCTTTTCTTGTTGCATTTCACAAGACCATTCCTTGTTCTGGAGTAAGTATTCGAGAATACTGTTCTGATTTTTCTGCCCCATAAATTGATAGGGATTAACCCTAACATGCACTCAGGTCTTTTGCTGAATAGGAGTTCAACAAAAAAAGTCCCTTTACATACCCAAGCCCTTGGCAAATTTAAGATGGACTAAAAAGCTCAGACCACAACAATTTGTGCCCTCACTGTGCATAGATTTGTTATAGCATTTTGAGAAAGCACAATCAGATACTGTGCTGAAATTCATATAGACAGAATTCCCAAGGGATATTTTGCCTTCTTTAAACTATATTTAGAAACAATATTCTAGGCCACAACATCTAAACAAAATGGTAATCCTAAAGGAAGTTGAATCTTTAGAGTAAAATTTATTCTGCTGCCCTTTGATGAAGTACAAATTTGTGAATGCTATCAAACAGTAGATAAAACTGTGTCAAAATACTTCATGCAGACACTGAAACTACTTTCCTTTGATTCTAGGGATTCAGAAAAAAATACATTTTTGTTGTTGTTTATAAGAAATAGATAGCAAAGTGTACTAAAATTAGAATTGAATTTATTCCTTTGTATTTAAAAAATAAAAAAGAAAAAGAAAACTTCAGAATTCAGGCAGAATTTTTTTCTACATGAAGATTTGTCTACGTAATTCCCATGAACAGATACTTTTAAATAATATTAGACCATAGAGAAAATGAAGACCATAGAGAAAACACAAACATCTAATGAGTTTTAAAAATCAATGAGAAAGTATAACACTTGATTAAACAATGCCTCTGCTCTATATGAACTCTACAGTGAATCTCAGCTGTTCATGTGGTCCAATTTCTCTGTTTTGCTTGTTTGTGTTTTATGTTGTTTTTTTTTTTCTGAAATAATGATATTTATAATTGTTGATTATCATTATAAAATGATGTTTGGAATACTTTGGTGCAATAAAGGTAGTTTTGAAATGCGTTCATTCTTTCTATGATATTCACAGACATTGATATATCTGTGAGACAGTCCATAAGACAGCACTCCTGACATTTTATGATTTTTTTCATTTAACAACTGGCAACTTTTTCAGCACATTGCACAAGAGAACATTTACACTTACAAATCATAATTTATTTTTTTTTCTGTTACTCATAATAAACTATTTTTCTCACTTGGTTCTATTATATGATATGAATGTATGGTTACACCAAACTTATGAAATGGACTGCTATATACCTATTGATGCACTGGAGATCAAAGAAATAACCCACAGAACTGACAGAAATCCCATGTATTATTCTTGACTTTTCTGTTGTGAATTGTGAATATTCTGACAATTTCTACCACATACAATAACAGACAGCAATTTTTACTATCAATATAATAAATCTCAAAGACATAATTAGCCTCATATAGCCTTTTAAGGAACTTTAAAGATGACAAATTTTGTAGGAGGTACCGTTCAAACTTGTGCTCAAGCTCAGCATTGTCTCAGATTTTCAAATTGCCCTCTTCCATTTATTTGTGTCATAAATTGGGTATTCTTATCCCCAAATGCAAAAATTTCTCCTCATCTTTCATGACATTCTACATGTATGTACATAATACAATAGTGTGTGAAAAGACTCGATTAATTGAAGAACATAAATTATAACTAACTTTGCAGTCTGATACAGCTTGTCTTTCTACTTTAGTTTCCAATTTTGTATGGTGTAGTTTTCTGTTTGACTTCATTCTGCTTTTGATCTAAGAATGTCAAAAAAATGTCAATTACAGTTGACTCACAAAATGCTTTCAAGGTAATTAACTAATAATTCTTATTCAGACCTATATGCAGATTATAATGATTGACACTAAGCAAAATTTTAAATTAATATGTGAACCTCCACAGACTTCCTCACATGTATAACCATCTTTACATGTAGATCCTCAGTTGACTTAAAAGTTGTTCATAAGTAAGCCTTTATCTTACCCCTGCTTGCCAAAATATCCTTTTTGATTTCCTAATTCTTTTATTTATGAGTAAAACACTTGGAATTCCTTTGACACTAAATAGGGAATATGTGATGGCAATAATTACCAGCATTATGAAAATGTTGAATATGAAGTAGGAAGACCTAACTTTTGTAATTCAAATCATATTGACTGATCCAGGAAGAACACGTTTTATTTTTTTCCTTTTTTTTTTTTTTTTTTTTTTCCTGATCAGCGTATTTCAGTACGGATCCCTACCTTGTTTTTACCTGTTTTCACATACAGACTTGCATAAAAATTTCTGAGCTTATACCAACAACAGAAATAACAAAAAAGATTATTTTTGTTTATGTTTAAGGAAGATAAAGGCTCTTCAAAGAACACAGTCCTAAGAAAATTCTTTAATTAGTCACCAATTCTACTAAATCCTTTCCAAAACAATTAAACTCTGTTATAAAACCAGGCAAGAGTTTTCTTTCATTCCTCGTAGTCTGATAACAAACTGCATTCTCTTTCCCAGGCTAACTTAAACAGCAGCATGTTTGTATCCCTCTGTTCTGACATCTATATTTTCTTAGCTGTTTTTCCCCTCACTACTCTTAACTATCATCTTCTTCTACTATGATGTATTTATAGACCATTCAGCTTTTGTTTAACAATACTGTTAGCCAAGCTTTTACATATTCCTATTAGTAAATACATTACTCATTTCCATGTTGATCTTGAAGGTAAAGATATCTCTTCCTTACACTTAGACCAAATTTAGACTACTCACTTTTTAAAATGGATGATCCAGTATTTCATAGAACAACACTAAAAAATGCTGTTGTTATTGTTTTTAAGATACAATAGAACAACAACAAGAAATCTTTTGGTAGAATTACCCTATGGTTTTCAATATTTGCAATTCCATTTTCACATTAAAATTTTGAGGATGCCAGCTTAGGCTGCTTTATAACTACAACTTCCATTTTAAATTCTAAGCTCATGAACATGAAAGAAAGCACACTTCCTGTTCACATAATGTCCTAAACATACCTGAGCTTCATTTTCATTGAAGCTAATATGTGCAATCTTGTTTCGAGAGACTTCATACCAATAAATATGTCACGAATGCTTTCTTGTTAATGTTGAATTACCTTAATTGAGTTGGCATTCAATTCTGTTAATCAACATTCATCTTATCTTAGTTGAAGTAGTTTAACCTGAGTTCAATTAAATTCATTTTCAGGCTCATTCTTAGAAAATTGCATTCACAATTATACTTTGCACAGGAATATCTATATTGTCAAGAATGAGAACTGTGATATTTCAATTTCTCTATATGCCCCCAAAATAAAAGTTAAATCTGATTTCCTAACTGTTCTCTTATGATTAAGATTTTGGACCCAAGCATTTAACCTACTACACCATTTTTCTCTATTGATTGTATTTTCCTAGTAGGGACTAATAAGGAATACATGCTCATTCTCTCTTCTCTTAAAAAAGAGGGAGAAAGAGCAAGTGAAGCCATGAGGCAGAAAGCTCAAAGCAATCTAAGGTAAATACCTAACAACTATGGAGTGATTTTTGCTACAGGATGTTCTGGATACTGAAATTTACATGGCCTGAAAAAGTAATAGGACAAATACCTGAAGAAAAGATAAATCGGTGATTATTAAACATATAAATACCACCTCTTGCTGAGAAATACCCTGAACTTTGGAAGCTAGGTTAGTATTCCTGGGAAGTATCACTTCACATGTAGCCTGTTTCCTGCTCTAGACATACATAACTGGCTGTTGATTGCTGCTGAAGAGAGGTCACTTGGCTTAAGATGCATTTGATCTATACTTACATACCCTTATACATATTAGTATGTTCTAACTGCTCAGATATTCAGAATTATAATCCTGTTCAATGACATACAAAAACATTCACCACTAGCACAATGTTTAAGCCAGCACAACCCAGTATCAGGGGAGT